CATTCTGAGAGAGCTAAGGGGATACCATTTGAGATTTAAGTTAAAAATCTCTGATAATTTGGGCAGCGCCTGTGTTTCAAAGGAGTAGGGCACCAACCCCTTATACCAGAGGTGGCAGGTTCAAACCCAGCCCCAGCCAAAAAAAAAAAAACAGCAAAAAAAAAGTCTCTGACAAGTAGTGCTGAGCATTTTTTCCCCATATTTTTATTGGCTACTTGAATTTTTCTTTGAAAAATGTCTTTTCATGTCTCTTTCCTACTTTTCGATGGAGTTATTTCCATCCCGCTGATATGTTTGAGCTCCTTGTACATTCTGCATATCAGTCCTTTGTCAGTTATACAATTTGCATTTTTTCCCAGCCTGTAGTTTATTTTACCATTCTGTTTTTCCTTTGCTGTGTAGATCTTTTTCAGTTAAATTATGTCCCATTTATTTATTTATATTTTTGTTGCCTTTACTCTGAGGTCTTTATTCTCTGCCTAGGTGAATATCCAGAAGAGCTTTTCAAAGGTTTTATTCTAATACTTTTACTGTTTCAGAATTTACTTTTAAATCTTCATCCCATCTTGAATTAATATTTTTATATGGTGATAGATAAAAACACAATTTCATTCTCTGCATATGGCTATTTAACTTTCCTGGAACAATTCCTTAAATAAAGTGTTCCTTCTCCAGTGTATGCTTTTGTCTGCTTTGTTGAACATCAGTTAGTTGTAGTTACTGGGCTTTATTTCTTAGTCCCTTATTTTGTTCCATTAATTTATATGTTAATTTTATGTCAGTACTTTGCTGTTCACAACTTTATAGTATGATTTAAAGACAGGTAATGTGATACAGGCGGATTTATTCTTTTGCTATTTGGGTTCATTTTAGTTACATATTAATTTTTGGATTTTTTTTAATATGGTGAAATATGGCATTGGTATTTTTACAGGAATTATATTGAAACTGTAGAGTGCTTTGGCAGTATGGTCTTTTTCATATTGATTTATCCAGTCCTTGAGACTGGAATGTTTTTCAATATGTTTTTCTATATTGAAAATTTCTTTTTTTTTATTAAATCATAGCTGTGTACATTAATGCAATCATGGGGTACAATGTGATGGTTTTATATACAACTTGAAATGCTTTAATCAAATGGGTTAATATAGCCTTCACAGCATTTTCTTAGTTACTGTGTTAAGACATTTATATTAACCTATTAAATTTCTCATGTACTCTTGTAAGATGCACTGTAGGTGTGGTCCCACCAATTACCCTCCCTCCATCGATCCTCCCCCCTCCCCTCCCTCTCCCCTTTCCTCATATTCTTGGGCTATAATTGGGTTATAGCTTTCATAAGAAATCTATAAATTGGTTTTATAGTGAGACTGAGTACATTGGATACTTTTTCTTTCATTCTTGAGATACTTTGCTAAGAATATCTTCCAGCTCCATCCATGTAAACACGTAAGAGGTAAAGTCTCCATCTTTCTTTAAGTCTGCATAATATTCCATGGTGTGTACATATACCACAATTTATTGATCTATTCATGAGTTGATGGTCACTTCCATGACTTAGAAAATATGAATTGAGCTGCAATAAACATTCTGGTACATATATCTTTGTTATAATGTAATTTTTTGTCTTTTGGATATTTACCTAATAGAGGAATTGTAGGATCGAATGGCAGGTCTATTTTTAGATCTCTAAATGTTCTCCAATCATCTTTCCAAAAGGAATGTATTAGTTTTCATTCCTACCAGCAGTGTAGAAGTGTTCCCTTTTCTCTACATCTATGCCATCATCTCTGGTTTTGAGATTTTGTGATGTAGGCTAATCTTACCAGAATTAGATGATATCTCAAAGTAGTTTTGATTTGCATTTCTCTGATGATTAAGGATGATGAGCATTTTTTCATGTGTCTGTAGCCCATGCACTATCTTCTTCAGAGGATTTTCTCTTCAAGTCCCTTGCCCACCCTGAGATGGGATCACTTGTTCTTTTCTTGCTAATATGCTTGAGTAGTGTTTTGTGGTTCTTCTCATAGAAATCTTTCACTTCTTTGGTTATGTATATTCCTAAATATTTCTTTATTTTTTCAACTATTGTAAATGGCTTTGAGTTCTTGATTTGATTCTCAGTTTTGTCTTATTGACATATAGCATTGGTACTGATTTGTGTATGTTGATTTTTTAATCTAAGACTACTGAATTCATCTCTCAGTTCTAAGAGTCTTGTGGAAGAGTCTATAGGGATTTTCAGTGTAAGACCACATCATCTGCAGCCAGAGATAGTATGTATGTATGTATGTATGTATTTATTTTGCCTGATTGCCCTACCTAGAACCTTCAGTGCCATGTTCAATAAAAGTGGTGAATATGGGCATCCTCGTTTTCTTCCACTTTTTAGGGATAATACTTTATCATTTTACCTATTCAGTATGATGTTGGCTGTGGGATTGTCATCTGTGTTTTTTTATTATTTGAGGTATGTTCCATCTATGCCTAGTTTTTCAAGGTTTTTATCAAGAAAAGATACTGGATTTTATCAAAAAAATTTTTCTGCATCTATTGAAATGACTATAGAGGTTTTGCTTTTATTTTGTTTATGTGGTGCATTGCATTACTGACCTCTGAGTGTTAAGCCATCCTTATATCTCTGGGATAAAAAGACCACTTGATTGTTATAACTTATTTTTTGAATATACTCTTGAATTCTGTTTACAGTATTCTGTTGAGGATTTTTCCATCTATGTTTCTCAGGGATATTGGTCTGTATTTTTGTTGTTGTTGTGTCCTTTCATGGTTTTCATATTAGGTTGATTCTAGCTCTGTAGAACAAGTTACAGAGGTTTATCTTAACCTTTCAGGCAGTTTTTTGTTTTGTTTTATTTTTTCATAACTGATTCAACCATATTGTTCATTATTAGTTCATGCAGGGTTTTTATTTTCTTTCTGATTGAAATTTGGGAGTTGGATGTTTAAAGGAATTTATCCATTTTCTCTACATTTTCTAGTTTACATACATGTTTTTATAGTAATCTCAGATCATCTTTGATATTTCTATAGTATCACTTGTAATGTCTCCTTTTTTATAGCTACTTCAATTCTCAATTAGCTCTCTCTCTCTCTCTCTCTATATATATATATATATATATATAT